TTCACAGATCACGACGCTCGACCCCGCGCGGAGCTTCACCGCGAAGGAGACCTACGTGTTTGAGCATTGCTTTGACTCCGTGAAGACGGGCGTGCGGGCGCTGGAGGAGGCGGAGGACGGGAAGGGGATCTCCCCGCAGGCGATAGAGCACTCCACGCAGGACCAGGCCATGGTCTACGCCTTTGTCGGGCATCCGGTACTGCAAAACGTGTTGGAAGGCTATAATGGCTGTGTGTTTGCCTACGGGCAAACGGGCAGTGGGAAAACCTACACCATGTTGGGGCTTTACACCGGGGCTCGAACCGCGGAGCCGAGCAGGACCCCGCGGGGGCTTTGTTTGCCCCTAACAAAGTCCACTAGCACGTTGGGAGGGATTCTACATCGGCCTAAAAAAACGAATTTGACCTTAACCGCTGCTGGGGGAGGGCCGGGGCTGAGCTCCTTGGGGGAGGTGGCCTCCACGGAGGGGTCTATCCCACCCCTTACTGCCCGTCTGTATACGAAGGAGATTACGGTTTCCCCCGTGGAAGGGATCATCCCGCGGCTTATGCGGCAGCTATTTCTTGGATTGCACAAAAAGCACAAAATGGACAATACCCACTCCTTTTGTGTGGAAATTGAGTACTATGAAATATACAATGAAAAGGTCATTGACTTGCTGAGCAGGGAGACGCCCAACGTCGAGCTTCGTGTGCGGAACTCCCCAAGTGGTCCTTATGTGGAAGGACTCCGACGGACACACGTGGAGGATATTGAAAGTGTTTTTAAATGCCTTCAGTACGGCAATACCGCACGACATAGTGCCGCCACCAGGTTCAACGACCACAGCAGTCGGAGCCACGCGATCCTGACCCTGCATCTGATCCAGATGTACATCTCCGGGGATGATGCGCGCCCACGATTATGTAGTAAGGTGAACTTGGTGGATCTGGCCGGATCAGAACGAACCGGTGCGAGTGGGGTGATGGGGAAACATTTTCTTGAGTCCACCAAGATTAATTTATCCCTCACCGTGCTCGGGCGGGTGATTGACGCCCTTGCCGATCTTTCGCAGGGTAAACAAGGGGTTTTCTGTCCATATCGTGACTCGAACCTGACGTGGCTGCTGCGGGATTCCCTCGGGGGAAATAGCAAAACGACGATGATCGCGACCATCTCCCCCCACGCCTTGAACTTCGAGGAGACTTGCCAGACGCTGCGCTACGCCTCGCGCGCGAAGCAGATCGTGACGAAGGTCGTCGTGAATGAGGATCCCCAACAGCGGCTCATCAAAACGCTCAACCTCGAGGTCCAACGTCTACGCCGCCTGTTGGAAGGGGAGGAAGATAAAGGCAAGGAGGACTATGTCGACGAGCTGCGGGACCGGGTTCTCTCCTTGGAGGCGGAGCTGAGTGAAAAGAAGGCCCAACTTATTCAGGCGGAGGCGGAAATAACCTTACTGCACACCTCCATGGAGGCCTCGAAGCAGGCTGTGTCGATTAGTACCGGTGGTGTACTTCATACCCCCGATTCCAACACCACCAAAGGCCTGATTGCCTCGCTCCGATCGAATATTATAAAGTTAGAAGAAGAAAATCTGAGGCTCTTGTTAACCGAAACCGAGCTGAAGGCCTGCAAAAATGAAAGGACGGATTTAGAAAAACGCCTGACGCAAATCTGCAAAAGCACGGAGAGGGAGTCGAAGTCATTGCTGTTAAATATTCGGCGTCTGGAGAAGGAGAATCGTAAGCTTGAAGTTGAGCGAAGAAAGATATCCAACTTCAATGCTGAGTTGCAAGCATCGGAGGAACGTGAGACGGAGCTGATCGCCCGCATCGAGAAGCTTGAACAGGAAAATGGGTATTTGCAGTCTAGGCCCCAGTTCACTGCACTGGACCCCGCTCAATCGTTCGATCTCAGCGAAGACGCGAAAGGAAAACTTCAACAGATGGGTCTTTTCCCACATCCATTCGACTCGTTATGCTCCGCCTCTCATACTCCCAAGGATCAGAATCCTCCCATAAAACTAGAGTCTCTATTGGAATCTCTTATTGAGCTTGCCTTTAATGCCGATAATAAATCTAGTAATAATATACCAAAGTCTAGTCCTCTACCCTCAGAGCAGAAAAGTGAATCGAATCTCTTAATAGGTATCAATAAGAAAGCAAAAAAACGAAATGCAAATTTTAAACTGTCTACTGGAGAGGACGCAAGGATACCAGGGGACGCTGTGGACGGTAACCTATCCTTAACACAGCCATATCACCAGCAGCTTTCTATTTTGGCCAAAAAGAAGGGTACATCGTGGATGCCGGGAGATTCTAAACAGTCGTTAGTGCCCAATTTATCGATGATCATTCCGACAGTGAAAGATGGCAATAAAGACCTCGCACGCAAACCAGTTCCCAAAGCCGACGAGCCCCTCCCCAACCAGTTAGAGGTCGAAAAGCTGGACGAGTCCTTGAAGTCCAGTTCAAGGCGGCCCTACAAAAACGAAATGATGCACCCCAAAGCGCATGCCACCCCTCTGCATCAGCGGCATCAAACCCCACTGGTGAAGGATCTCAGGCAATCCCTGACCGCGCTTTCGGACAGCCTAAAGCGCGTATCCCCCAAAGAGCTGGAGGCGCTCGCGGAGGATGGCGAGAGGATTCTTCGGGTGATGGACCTGCTCAGGGACCGCCTCACGCACCGCCAGGCCCCCCCGCCAACCCATCCCAAGGCCGAAGGGGTCGCCAAGGACGGCTCGGAGGGGCAGGACCTCAACGGCCCAACAACGCCGCACCGGTTAACGAGCTTTCCGGAGGATTTGGACGCCGGCGTCCTCAAGGCCCCCAGCCCGGCCTCCGACTGGACGGCAGGGGGGGGGCCTGAGGGGAATTCGGCGGATCGGCCGAATAGCCGGCACCCGTCCGAGGAGGGGCTATCCCACACCGCGGCGGAGCTCATCTCGACCATCACCCACAACCCGTACGAAAAGGACCACCCACCGCAGGAGGGGAATGAAGGGAAAGAGGGGAAGGGCCACGACGCCAAAGGGGGGAGTTCCCCTCCTGGGGCTTACGCGGACCACCGCCAACGCCCCATCACGGCCTTGACGGAGGCCCATGCGAGTCTTCTGCCGATGTGGGGCCACGCCCAACCGGACACCGCGCGGGACGGCGCCGACGGGAAATCAGAGCGGGATGAGGCGGTGGGCGAAAAGGAAACGATTCGGGCCCAACAGGAGGAATTAGTCCGACAGGTTCACGCCCTGTTGACTGAAAAGACCACACTTCTTGCGCAGGTGACAGAGATCGCGAAGGTGTCAGAAGAACATCGAGCGGCAACCGAAGTTATTGAGAAGGCAATGGACCAACTACGGCTCACCAAGCAAGCAGAGATCGACGCATTGGAAGCCGAATTAGCGCAATCGCACAAAACAAACGCGGAGAGGGCAGAAGAACTGAAGGAAAAGGAAAAGGAGCTCTTCGAGGCGATTCAGCTCGCAAAGGACGAAAAGACGGCGCTTTTGTCGCGTCTGACGAGTGCTGACGTGCAGCGCCAACAGGTCGAACTCGCCTTAGCGGAGGCCCAACACACCGCTGAGGGAATGCAGGCCGAACTGGAGGCGACCCGCACGCGGCACGCCCAGGCCATGGGAGACCTGCAGGAGGACTTCCAAGAGAAGGAGAGGACCGCGAGTGAGCACGCCGAGGAGCTTTCGCGATGCCGGGAACGCCTTGAGGCCCTCGAAAGGGCCCAGTTCGTTCAGGAGCAGGAAAAGAGCGCACTCGCCTCCCGTCTTGTCCATTTGCAGGAGACCTTTGATCAGGAAGCTGGTGATCACATTGAGGCCTTGGCCACCAAGAACGCGCATTTGGCAGCGCTCCAGAGCGACCTTCAGCGCATTCAGGCGGAAAAGGAGACCGCCGAAGAGGCCTTTCGACACGAAGTGAGCGCCGCTCACGATTCCGTGAACGCCGCCAGGGTGGCTTTCAACACGAAGGAGAGGGAATTTCAGGACCGAATCGCGTCTTTACAACAGGACGTGGCATCCCGTCGTGAAACGATTGCCACCCTCGAGGCCAAAGAGCAGGATGTGAAGTCCAAACTTCGACTTCAAATCATCCGGGGCATCGAGATAGTCTCCGACCGGGACGCGGCGATTGACCTTCTCACGGGGCAGAAAAAAGCCGCCCTCGAGCGTATCGCCGGTTTGGAGTCCAAACTCGGGGCCGCCGTGGCCGAGAAAGCCGAGCTTTCCGAGCAGCATCTCAAACTACAAGCCGAGCGCAAGCGGCAATCCACGCAGCTCGCGAAGTCGAACCTGGATTTAGCCGACCTCACGCGGGCGCTTTCGGCGAAGGAGGCGGCGCTTATCGAAGTCCGCGCGCGTCTGGAGGACGAAGTCCGCCAAAAAACGAAGCGATTGGGCGAGCTCGAGGCGGAGCTGGAAACGCAGGGCGCCGCGGCGGAAAAGGCGCTGACCCGGCTCAAGGCGATCGCGCAGGAGAACGCGTCGGAGCTCTCGCGGCTGCGGGTGGAGACGGCGCGCGCCGCGTCGGAGCTGCGGCTTTCGCAGCAGAACTCGACCACCGCGCGGAGGGAGTTGGCGGGCTGCACCGCCCGGCTTCAGCTCACCGACCAGGCGCTTCGCCAGCACCAACTCCTCACCGAGCAGATGGGGTCCTTTGTGGAGCTGAAGATGCGGTTTCTTGTGGGGCGCTTTGACGGGCCGGTCTTGCACGCCATCGAGGCGGCCCGGCGCCTTCAGTTCGAGCTCGATCGCGTTTCCGGCGAATGCGCGGAGGCCGCGGACCGGCTCCGGCGCCTCGAGGCGGTTTTGGCCGAGGCGCGATCCGCCCACAGCGCCGAATCCGCGGAGCTGTCCCGTCGCTGCTCGGAGCAGGATCGCGAGCTCGACGAGCTCGCGCGGCGGCTGAGGGCCCAGCAGGAGGATCAGGACCGGGGGAGGGCGACGTGGGCCGAGGCCGCGGCCGCGCAGGGCGAAAAAATCGCGGAATTGACAACCGAACTCGCGGAGCAGGCGCAGCTCCACAAACTCGAGGCCAAGACCCACCACGCCACCTGCGAGCGCCAACAGCACGAGATCGCCGAGCTCAAGGAGTACCTCGAGTTTCAGGCGAGTTTGGATCTCTGTGAGGTGGAAACCGGCCGGAATGCGTCTTTTGGCAAGCCGCCGGCGGGCTACGGCGCGGCCCCGCCCCATTCCGGCGCCCTTCCCAGCCTCGGGGGGGCCGGCCTGGCGGCCTCCACGCGGAGCCGCGTGGGGGGTGTTTTACTGTCGTTATTCCAGCGTAAAGGGCCCCCGCCGGCGGCGGCGAACGGGGTGGGTGGGAGCCCCGGGAAGGACCTCAAAGCCCGAACGAAAAGCGATCCGAGCGGGGCGTTGGCCGGGGATTCCTCCAATTTGGCGGCTTCCTTGCACGATTATATCACGTCCCAGCGTGGGCATTCGCCCGAAACGGCGATTTCGGGCCTTCGGGACGGCGACCATCCGCCTTCCACGACGGATGACCCCATCCCATAACACCAATAACAGAAGGGAGGGGGATATGAGATCGCACTATAAGTGATCGGTACATGCATAGAAAAAAAAAAGAATAAACGTGAGTGTGTGAAAAGGGGGGAGGTTAGGGTATGCTTAAACCATTTTTATAAAATTATGTTCCCCCTTTTTATTCCTTTATTGTTGTTATTATTATTATTCTTATGGCCACAGAACCAAGCCCTCGAATCGCTCTTTTACGACTTTCCCATACTACACCGGACGCCACATTTCCACCCCCCCACTCCTGACCTTCTGCTTCACGGCGCGATGGCGAATGTGTGTGTGTTGGGTGCGGCCGGGGGGATTGGCCAGTCGCTCTCGCTTCTCCTCGCGCGGGATCTTCCCTTTGGGAGTACGCTATCGCTCTACGACGTGGCGGGGGTCCCCGGCGTCGCCGCGGATCTCTCCCACATCGACAATCCCGCCATCACCGTGAAGTCCGCGATGGGGACGGCCGGGGTCCGGCGGGACCCGGCCCTCGCGGCGATGGCGGTCGGGGTGGATGTCTTCGTCATCCTGGCGGGGGTGCCTCGCAAGCCGGGGATGTCTCGGGAGGATTTGTTCCCGCTCAACGCGGCGATCGTCTCGGATGTCGTGCAAACCTGCGCGAGGGCCAGCCCCCGCGCCGTCTTCTGCCTCGTGACGAACCCCGTGAACCGGCTCGTCCCGATTGCCGCCCGGGCCTTGCGGGCGATCGGGCTCTACGACCGGAATCGCGTCCTGGGGGTGACCGCGCTGGATGTCCTGCGCGCGACGCGCTTTATCAACGAGGCCCGCTGGCCTTTGCTCGTCCAGACGGTCCCCGTCGTCGGGGGCCATAGCCGCGACTCCATCGTCCCGCTTTTCCACCAACTCCAAGGCCCTTTGCCGGACGACCCGGCGCTGGCGGCGATTGCCCGCCACGTGCAGGTCGGCGGGGATGACGTGGTGAGGGCGAAGAACGATCGGGGGACGGCGACGCTGTCGATGGCCGAGGCCGGCGCGCGGTTTACGATGAGCGTCGTGCGGGGGTTGAAGGGGGCGGAGAAGCCGCTCGTGTGCGCGTACGTGGATACGGCCGGCCAGCACGCGATGGAGTTTTTTGCGATTCCCATGATTTTGGGCCAAAACGGTATCGAACGCCGCCTGCCGATCGGGCCGATCGCCCCTTCGGAGAAGAAGCTTCTGGATAAGGCGATCGCGATCGTCAAAGATGACATCGAGATCGCCAACCAATTCGCGCTTTCAAAGCTTTAACATGGCATGAAGTGGTAATTTAATATATATATATATATAATCAATTACATTTTTTTTAAACTATATTTTCAATATAGTGTTATGATATGCGTTTTTTCTCCTTTAAAGGGCTTTGTTATATCATAGAATTAGGTATAAATGGTTTCATAAATTTCAGCAGGGTATAAAGTGATAGACTTATTGCAATTGACTTTGCTGTTTTCTATTATTCCTTTATTTTATTTTAATTACATCTCCGTTATGTTTTACCGATCGTCTGAATCCATATTCATGTTTTTTATTATTAAGTCCAATTAAGTCCATTTGTGTATTTCGGGAAAAAGTGTCGGTTCCGTTTTTGTTGATTCCGTACTGTGCCCCTCGCGGGCGTGTGACTTGTGTTTTCTGCATGACAGCTGGGCCCACGGCCCCCACCGCGTTTGCATTCTCCACTTCTCCCCACACGCTGTCTTTTGCTTTCCACACACCCTCCCCATACCCATCCTTATTCCTATTTATCCCTATATTTATATCTATATATATATATATATTCCGCTATATATATATATCTATATATGTATATATTTATATGGATTGGGATCTCTATGGATCCCTTTACGCGGATCCACCCCTGTCGGCGCGGCCTGGTGCAGACCAGACCGTCCCGTAACGCCGAGTGACTTATGGAGGAGGCCCCGGGGCTGCCCGTCATCGGCCTCCACCTCGACGACGCCCACCTGCGCGGCGTCCTGCAGGCCCTTCTGCGCGAGCAGCGCCGGCTCCGCCAGGGCCAGGACCGCCTGGGGCGCCGCCTGGACGCGCTCGAGGGC